TTGAGGTTGCTGTGAGCTAGGCTGATGCCACGGCACTCACTCTAGCCAGGGCAACAGAGTGAGGCTCTGTCTCAAAAAAAAAAAAAAAAAGTTGGGTAGTTTTTCCCAAGTAAAACCTGTCAGCAAAGTTACTCCAAAAATTGTACATGGTTGGAAATGCACGTGGTAAGTATTCTCTAACGAACTAGTTGTTACTTAACTACTGAGGAATGAGTAACAGAAAAGAAAGATACAAATTAAAATAAATATGAAATTTATTTAAAAAGTTTGCTTTTAGCACTCGTTAGGCTGTTCAGGATTTCTTTTGTGAGTAGGTAGAAATAAGGAGATTAATTATGTGTAGGTAGATATGTTGTTACTCAGCTTTTGAGATTATAGGCATCTGTCATTATATAGAAAGTTAGAGCCAACTTTAATTTGTTAAATTTAAAGGTTTCCCGGGTTTTACTTGAGAAAAAGTACACAACTTTTATATACAAAGTCAATACGTTTTTAGTGAACACAAATAAAGCAAATATTACCTAGCCTGTCAGTAACTGTTAAATTAGGTGATTGACTGGTCTGGATTTACAGAAAGATTCAAAATTACAGAAATCCCAACAAACTTTTTTTTTCCTCTTTTGTAGTTGCAGGGTGTCAGTCCCTTCCCTTTTCACTAGTGGTTAGTGACTTCTTTAAAGAGAGAGCTGTTTGAATGCTCCCATCAAGCCAGGTAACCAGGACTCCTGAACCGAGAAAACACTGGCAGTACAGAGAAGCATTGGGGTGACCTAGCTTCCAGCCCTGTGAACTCTGCTGGATATACCAAAAGGCCCAGAGACCAAGTCTTGTTCCATTGTATACCAAACCTGTTTCTGATCGAGAATGATTCGAGAGAGGGGCAGGAAAAGACAATAAATTTATTTTTAGAGAGTAATGTGGGACAGATAACTTTTAAATTAAAAATTAGGGGCTAACACCAATCCTATAAATGATTAGTAGTAGTCTGGCATGGCCTGCAAACTGTAACAGAGAATCAGGGACATCCATCAACAGCATTTCCATTACTGGGACATATTGGCATGATGTTCGCCAGCATGCCCAGGGTGCTCACCTCTTGTGGTGTAGGGAGTCCGGGCTTCAGCACTCCTTATTGCTCATCATTAAGCAGGAATGTTGATCACATGATATTGGTCCACAGGTCATCAGGTTTTTGTTTTTGAGACAGAGTCTCACTCTGTCTCCCTACCTAGAGTACAGTGGTGTCATCATAGCTCACTGCAACCTCCAACTCCTGGGCTCAAGCGATCCTCCTGCTTCAGCCTCCCGAGTAGCTGGGACTATAGGCATGAGCCACCACTTGGCTAATTTTTTCTGTTTTTAGTAGAGACAGGGTCTTGCTCTTGCTCAGGCTTGTCTTGAGCACCTCAGCTCAAGCAATCCTCCTGTCTCAGTCTCCCAGAGTGCTAGGATTACAGGTGTGAGCCACCGCACCTGGCCCAGTTTTTCAGTCAGTTGAGATACATCCTTCTTTATGTTGAAAATATAATTTCTCATAAAAAAAGAAAATAAACTTGAGAGCAGCATCTTATTTATACTAGAGGTATGCCAGAAAATTCCCTGCTCTGGCTTTTGGGATGTGAATGGTCTTAGGACATTTTGTGTAAAGAATGAAGCAATTAGGAGCATGGAGCCAACTGCCTGTGTTCATATCCTGGCTCAGCCATTCCCCCTGCTGTACAACTGGTCTCTCTCTGCCACAGATCCCTTACCTGTAAAATTGAGATGATACTAGTTCCTAATTCATAAAGTGATTATGCAGATTAAAGGAGTTTGTACATATAAAGAACTTTTTTTTTTTTTTTTTT